TTGAACACTGTGGGCCAAATGGAACTTAAGTTATGCTCCGGAACCAAATTGCTAACGGACGGACGGACGGACGCCAGGGGGTATAACATAATATGCCCGAAATTCTTTCGGGCATATAAAAACCAGGCTGGGTAATCCCTTGTCGCAGAAGAGTTTTTAAATCACTATTGAATTTAGAAATTAAATTATAGTTACGATTGTAAAATTTAGTTAAATATTTCCGTAATTTATGATAGCGGTAGCCCTGTTTTAGAAGCTTGCTGGTAATAAAAATATTCCGCTCGTTGAAATCCTTTACGTTGCTACAAGCTCTAGCGAATCTAATTAACTGAGAAACATAAACCCCGTAAGATGTTGCATGGGGTACGTCTCCATCTAAATGTGGATAATTAACTATACAAAAGTCAAAGACATCTCTTTTATCATAAATTTTCGAGTGAATAGAATTGTTGTTGATAGTAATATGAAGATCCAAAAATGACGTACTAAAATTTCAAGAGTTCGTTTTATCAAGTTGTAGCTCATGCGGATAAATGTCAGACACCATTTGATCAAAATAAGGATTATCTAAATTAAAAATATCATCAAGGTATCTGGAAGTATTATTAAATGCGACTATAACATCTTGTTGTTTCTCTTCAGAGAGACTCAACATAAAGTCTCTTTCATAGCAGTACAAAAACAAATCGGCGACCAGGGGTGCACAATTAGTACCCATAGGAATTCCTACGATCTGTTTAAATAGGGTATTACCAAACCTGACATAAATGTTGTCTAAAAGAAAAGAGAGTGCTCTACAAACTTCGTCACAGGTCCACATAGTATAATGTTTAACAATACCGTTAGTAAAACAAGAGCCGGTTGAACCGGGTGATGCTCCCCGAATAGGTTTTGGACACAGGAAGGTATACCTCTTGTTGTGTCAGAGTTATGTCACAGACAAAGTTCAAAGTGTAAAAACAACCCAAATATTGTGCACGACATATTGTCTCAATATGGTGATCATTTTTGTGAAATAGTTGTAAAATCCGATTTCAAATAACAAAGTTATGCGCCTGACATTATTTTGCTGCAAGGTCATGCTGTGACCTTGACCTTCAAGGTAGTGACCCAAATGTTGCATGCGACACGTCGATTCAATATGGTGATCATCTCTGTGAAATAATTGTTAAATCCGACTTCCAGTAACAAAGTTATGGGCCGGACACGATTTTGCTGCAAGGTCATACCGTAACCTTGACCTTCAAGGTAGCGACCCAAATGTTGCACGCGACACAATGTCTCATTGTGGTGATCATTTCTGTGAAATAGTTGTAAAATCCGACTTCAAATAATTAAGTTATGTGCCGGACACAATTTTGCTGCAAGGTCATGCTGTGACCTTGACCTTCAAGGTAGCGAGCCAAATGTTGCGCATGACACGCCGTTTTAATATGGTGATCATTTCTGTGAAATAGTTTAAAAATCTGACTTCAAATAAGGAAGTTATGGGCCGGACACGATTTTGCTGCAAGGTCATGCTGTGACCTTGACCTTCAAGGTAGCGACTTAAATGTTGTGCATGACACGTCATCTTAATATGATGATCATTTCTGTGAAATACTTTTTAAATCTAACTTCAAATAGGGAAGTTATGGGCCAGACACGAATTTGCTGCAAGGTCATGCTGTGACCTTGACCTTCAAGGAAGCGACCCACATGTTGCGCGCGACACATCGTCTCAATATGGTGATCATTTCTGTGGAATATTTTTTAAATCCGACTTCAAATAACAAAGTTATGGACCGGACACGATTTTGCTGCAAGGTCATGCTGTGACCTTGACCTTCAAGGTAGCGACCCAAATGTTGCGCGCGACACGTCGTCTCAATATGGTGATCATTTCTGTGAAATATTTTGAAAATCCAACTTCAAATAACAAAGTTATGAACCGGACACGATTTTGCTGCAAGGTCATGCTGTGACCTTGACCTTCAAGGTAGCGACCCAAATGTTGCGCGCGACACGTCGTCTCAATATGGTGATCATTTCTGTGAAATATTTTTAAAATCCGACTTAAAATAATGAAGTTATGGACCGGACACGATTTTGCTGCAAGGTAATGCTGTGACCTTGACCTTCAAGGTAGCGACCCAAATGTTGCGCGCGACACGTCGTCTCAATATGGTGATCATTTCTGTGAAATAATTTTAAAATCCGACTTCCAATAACAAAGTTATGGGCCGGACACGAATTCGGGACGTACGTACGGACAGACTGACGGACGGACGGACGGACAACCCGACGACTGTATGCTCCCCCGAAATTTTTCGGGGAGCATAAAAAGCTTTGTTAGAATTACATGCTAGAAAGGTAACTTTTTCCCGTGCAAAAGTTTTCTGAATTAGGGAAATTAGTTTATCATTGATTAATTTATGTGGCAAAGTTGTATAAAGTGTAGAAAAATCGTATGTACTGACAGTTGAAGCTTGAAAGTTATTAATTTTGAATTTATCCAAGATTTCACCAGAATTTTTAATTGACCAAAAGAGATGTTTGCCTGTGTTTTCATAGACTTTATCACAATATCTAATTACATGTGTTTTAATGGCAGTCAAACAAGACGTCAATAAAATAGAAAGTTTACTTGTAGTGCAAGATGTAGAATTAGCAATAAATCTGGCTTTGTAAGGTTTTTTATGTAATTTAGGAATCCAATACATAATAGGAAGTTTGAGTTCTTTTTCATTAATTTGGACTTTAAGATTGGAAATATTAGTAAAATGATTGTTTACAATGTCTTTTTCGGAGGCAGAGGTTTTAGAATACGCATTAGTGCTATTTAGTTCCTTATGCAAAGCGTTAATGTAATGGATTCGTCAAACAATTATAATATTATTAGCCGCCTTGTCCGCTGGCACCAAAACAAATTTTGAATGAAAAGCTAGAATATCTTTTTTCAGATGTCTTAAAGTAAGTCTTGGTTTAGGTGGCAAAAGATGTTCATTTCCACGATAAAAATTAATACGTGAATCAATTATTTTAAAGATGTTACGTTTCCATGTAACTAGAGCATTACTATCCGCATTTTCACGGCGACACCATTTGACCGAAAAATCCTCTATAGATTCAGCAATCTGACCACGACAAGCATTAAAATCAATCTCAGAAGGAATTCTGTATTTAGGTCCTTTCAAGAATAAGTTACGAATTCTTTTGTCTGCAATTATATCAAAATTACCAGTGATTATATGGCCAAAATCTGAATTACAGAATTTAGAAGTATTGCAGTCTCAAGTTGTTGGAGTATTATACTGAATATCTAAGTCAGAAACCACTTTGTTGTAATTAAATATGATATTTCTAACAGGTTTCTTATATTTATAGCAAATAATTGGTATCTCGGAGTTTTTGAAATATAAAGGAACTGAATTAGTGACACGTTTATCACGAAAAATACTTGGTAAATCGATGAAATCGATACCTTTATTAAGAAAGGTTACTTTTAGGAAATGCCTGTTGTGGTCAGAAGTGTTGTCGATATGAGGTCTTAAGACGTGCTGAGTATAACTTTGAATAAGATAAGCTGCTGTATATAAAGGATCTGTTTGAATAACTATATTATCTGCCTCCGCGTCTAAGATTTTCAGAGATGATAATGAAAGGGAAGTAAGACGTGATAACATTGCATGTTTACCAGAGTTTTTTAAGATAATATTTAAGTCGGTGACGGACAGGGTAATTTTAGATTTACGTTTGATGTTGCCATTTCTACGTACTCCGTGAGATCGGGATTTACGTTTACGAATATTCAGAATAGAAAATATATCAATGTTTGGATCTTTAAAGATGTTACCTTGTTGAAAAATATTGTCATTTAGGCCAAGTGGGAAAGGCGTTTGCAAGTTCTTGATCCATTTTAATTCTGCTAAGTGTCTAACTTTAACTTTAAAACTAGCAGAAGCATCCGAATAATAAATTATTTGTTCCATTGGTTGAATTGAAACATTTTTAAATGAATGACCATCTTTACGAAAATGTTGATATAGAAAATTTGTAAATTTTGTGCGATTTCTCATTTTATAAAAATGTTCACGGAATCGAATTTTAAGAGAACGTCCTGTCTGACCAACATACTGTATGCCACACCCAGGGGTGTTTCAAGTTAAAACATAAACAAAATGAGTTGCCTTTCAGTCAATATCTGTATTCAAAATAATATTAAAAGTTCTCCCATTTACATTAGAGGTTATTGTAGACCTGTGCGATAAAAAGTTACAACATCCGCACCTCTTAGAATTACACTTATTAATAGAAGGATACACTCTAGCTCTATGAGGATAATTAGTATGTCTGATATTATATTTCTTAAGAATGGTATGTTTTATAGGAGAAAGCCTAATGCGTAAAGAATTATTGAAAATATTAGAGTTAATGGATCGTGGAATATAAAATGAATTAACAGATGAAAAGTTTAATGGCGAAAGAACGACGGATGGTGTTCGTCTAGGTGTACTGTGATTTCCAATCTGTAAAGAATTAGTAGACGTAGAATGTACCTGAAGAGGTGAAAGAAAGTGTGTATTGTTTCTATAATTATATGTAGTAATAAAATGATTCCGTGCCCAGTGGGGCACCAATATTAAAGTAACGAGACTAGAGTATTAGTGCCACAGTGTACACAGAACCTGCAAAAGGGTAAGATTAAAGAAAATTTGGGGTATATGTAACTTGGTTGAAATTGAAAGGTTGTAATAACCAAGAAATTGGGTTCTACTCTTATCTCCGCGGCGTCTAAATATGGATCAAAGATGTCTTTCCAAACAAATAACTGTACACAGTTCTAATGTATTTATTTACGAAAACAATCTTCTAGTTCACATTCACATGTATATTAATCTTACATATCCAAATATCAGTAAACCAATCAACGATCGACAAACTCAATGAATCGCCAATGAATCGTCAATAAATCTCAATCAATCGAATTGATCAACACTCTGAAAGTAAACAAATTATATCAACATAAAAATAAAGTAAAATCCAGTTCCTATATCTGAAAAGCATAATTATCAATTATAAAAACATCCTTATTTAGTTGATCAATTACACATAGATATTTGCAACACATTACACATATCACTCATAGGTACATTAACATATAATATAGTTATATGCTTTCTATTGGCTGTCATTAACATAAATAGTTCATTTAATGAACTTATCATAAAATACATAACATTCATAAAGAATATCCAAACTTACCAGTTTGTGGAACTGAATGTACAATTATATCATATTACATCATCTTTTTCAAAACACACATACTTCCAAACTCTCTGTGCTGTAATTTCTGCAAATTATAATAAACAAAATGTGCAAAGTGATGGGAATGAAATGTGATATTAAGTTAATAGAAAGATAGATTTACTGCTTTTTCTGAAACAATTCTCAAACCACGAAAACTAATGATATTTCAAATAAGACCACAATCATTACTTAATTAAAAAACAAATCTATGACATACACTTTTTAAAACACTGATAATAACCGAATACAACTCAAAATCATACATACCAACTATCAATAATCCAAATTTTAAATAAATTTAAAACACTTAGAAAATGTCTGAACTTAATTTTTACAAAGCCGCTTCAACAAAGACAAAACTAGTCGCATGATCAAAGTTGCGGGAAACCCAGGAAACAACTCAAACAACCAGAAATGTATCAAGACACTCAAATTATCCATCCTGTTACATACTTCCCCACCTTAGAAAATGACGTCCCGTCATTATCATATATACAAAAAATAATTCACATCAAACAATTCTATTTGAAGAAAAACAATTCTCAAAATATAACTCATCAGTATTCTGAATCAATCAGAAAATTTTTACAACTCGTCCAATATCAGTTGACTTCAAGTATAAAGTTAATCTCTACAACAGTCCATATAAATTCAATTCTTCCTCCCCCTTCTTAAATATTGCGACCTCGCAATATATACTGAATTATTTTAATTTATATTGGCTTTTATTCAATGATTAGAATATAAATTTATTTTCAATTAAGGTTTAAAAATTACAAAAATTCAAACAATACATTACATATAAATTAAATACAAAAGTATATGTACTGAATACAATATATCAATCAGACAATGTATTTAATAACTTCTGTGCCACATGAATATCAATCCTGTTCAATACGCCAGAATTCATCAATACATCTAATGCCTGTAGATTGGTATCATATGGTCTTGGTACCATTCGATTCATGTGGTAATCACTCTGCCAATTTGGTGGTTTACGTTCTCTTACAGAACGTCTTGGAGTTGGCTTAGTCCTTGGAGGTGATTTTGGTGGAGGCTCTTCAGGGATTTCTTCAATTCCTGGACCTTCATCAACATGTGAATTTTCATCTGTCACTTCCGTGCTTGTTTCTGAATTGTCATCTGTGTCATTGTCTATACCTGTTTGTATTTCAATAGGTGTGTCATCTGAATCTACATGTTCTTCATGGTGATTTGAATTCACACTTTGTATTTCTATGTCATCCACTTCTTCAATCTCATTAGATTCAAGTTCCTCTTCGTCTGTTCCTTTGTTTTCTGTGTCTACTTTATCTCCTGAGTTCGGTATACCATGATCTTCTGTCAAAGGTAAAGGATTATGGGCGTCCCCAAAGTCAGATGTATTACTAACAACTGCATATCCAATATCTGAGTCTGAATCATCATCATTATCATCGTCATGTTCATTTTCACATACCGGTATTCTTTCTTCCATCCCTTTCGATGCATCGATTATATCCGTATCTAACTCTTCTTCTGTTGTTTCCTGACTTTGGACTGGAAACAAATGGTTTCTATGTAGTATCTTCTCTACTCCTGATATTTCCGATCTCACTTTAAACACAGGTATATCATGTCTAGGTTGTTCAGTGACTTTATATAGTTCCTCTTCAAACTTGTCAGCAATTTTATGCTTACCATCGAATTTCAAAATTTTTACCAGTACTTTGTCACCAACAGATATAGTTGCTGCCTTGGCCTTCTTATCAAAATATTTCTTCTGTTTAAGTCTTGCTTTATCAGAGATATCTTTAACTATTTGATTTTTCATTTCCATACGTTCTTTCAATTCTTTGATGTAATCTGTTTTAGGCATTTCTGTTGTTTCATTTTCATCTGTTGCTTGTTGAAATACAGCATCAATGGGAAGTTTTGCCTTTCTGCCAAACATTAATTCAAAAGGGGAAATTTTCGTTGTTTCATGTGGTGTTGAATTGTATGCATAGACTAGTGTTGGTATGTATTTCATGTCAAGAAGCGTCCGGTTGAATCGTTCTGTAATTCCGTTACCCATGGCGTGATATATGGAAGTCTTTGTCTTTTTCATCTGTGTGATAACACATAATTCTTTAATGATCTCTGATTGAAAGTTTGCTCCTTGATCAGAATGTATTGCTGTAGGAATTCCATAATGTACGATGAAGTTGTTATAAAAAGCTTCTGCTGTTGTTTTTGCAGTTTGATTCTTTGTTGGGATTGCCATAGCGAATTTTGTGAAATGATCCGTTATTACTAAAATGTTTCCAATTCCTTTTGCTGGTTCTAACGTGAGATAATCCATGCACACCATTTCCAATGGGTATGTTGTTGTTATGTTTATTAAAGGAGCTCGACTGTGAACATTTGTTTTACGACGTAAACATCTACTACATTTTGACAAATGATTATCTACATCTGCTATCATCCTTGGCCAATAAAATCTCTCTCGCAAAAGTGCTGAAGTTCTTTCCCTTCCAGGATGGCCTACATCGTCGTGAAGACCCTTTAATATATCGTTGCGATAACAAGTTGGTATGACAAGTTGGTCTATGTTTTGTTCTTCTAAATGTCTATATAAGATACCTCTTTTCATTTTAAAGTTCTTGAAGTTTCTTCTCATTAAGACATCATCCCTGTTTATGTTCTTACTTGGTAGTTTATTGTCTATCACAGCCCTCCGCCACCTCTCAATTGTTTCATCTTGTCTTTGATTTTGTCTTATTTCCCTCATTTCAATTTGTGCCATTGGAGTTTCTGGTGATTCTGTAGCTTCTATTATATTGATACTAGTAGTTGGTAATGTTTCAATGTAAGGAGGAAAAATAATACTGCTGCATATTGTTTTCACTATCTTGTTGTCAATTTTCACCATGTCTGTTCCATTCTGCTGTACTTCCTCATATGGGTATCTAGACATTCCATCTGCATCAGCATTCTTGATTCCTGCCCGATAAATAATATCAAAGTTGAATTCTCCAAGAGCTGATGCCCACCTCTGTCCTGTAGCATCCAATTTAGCTGTTGTTAAGACATGAGTGAGTGGGTTATTATCTGTTAAAACTGTAAAATGCTTTAAAGCCAAATAGTCTGAAAATTTTTCCGTCACCGCCCATTTCAAAGCCAAAAATTCCAATTTAAATGCAGAGTAATTCTTCTCCGATTTTGAAAGTGCACGACTGGCATAGGATATTACACGTTTTTTGTTGTCTTGGACTTGGTAGAGGATAGCGCCTAAAGCTTTGGACGATGCATCTGTATGCAATTCAAAAGGAAGATCAAAATCTGGATACGCCAAAATTGGTGAAGTTGAAAGAATTTCTTTAAGTCTATTGAATATCTCTTCCTCAGTTTCGGTCCATTTCCACTCTTTAAAATGTTTCTTTGATTTCTTTGATGTTGGAGGTAGCAATTCCGATAATGGTCTTGTTATTCTGGAAAAATTATTGATGAATCTTCTATAGTAACCACAGAATGCTAGAAATGATCTCAGGTCATCTGATGTTTTTGGTAAAGGCCAGTTCTTTATTTTCTCAATCTTTTCCGGGTCTGTCTCAACTCCTTCCCTACTCACTATATGTCCTAAGAATTTCACTTTTTCCTGAATGAAGAAGCATTTTTCTGCTGAAAGTTTCAAGTTGCACTCTTTTAATCTGGTAAGAATTTTGTCCAAGTTTTCTAAATGTTCTTCAAAAGTGTTGCTGAATATGATAAGGTCATCCAAATAAATTACACAGATCTTCATATTATACTCTCCTAAGCATTCCTCCATTAATCTTTGATATGTAGCTGGTGCATTACTTAGTCCGAATGGCATTTTATTATACTCCCAGAATCCTAATGGTCCACAGGTGAAAGCAGTCCTCTCTTTGTGTGTTTCCTCTATTTCTACTTGATGATACCCAGATTTCTGGTCTATGGTTGAAAAATATCTGCTTCCTTTCAAAACATCAAACACTTCTTCAATGCGAGGTAGAGCGTACGAATCTTTGACCGTTTTATTGTTTAGCATCCTGTAATCTACACAAAGTCTCAGTTTGCCATTCTTTTTACGAACAAGAACCACGTTTGAAGCCCAAGGAGATTTTGATTTTCTAATAATGCCAGCTGAAAGTAATTGTTCTAAATGTCTTCTTATTTCATCAATCATCATCGGAGGTATTCTTCTATGTCTTTGTTTGAATGGGAGTTCATCTATTAAATCTATTCTGTGTTTCATCATAGTACAATTTCCGATATCAGTATCACTGTGGGAGAAAATATCTTTGTGTTTATATAGCAAGTGTTTGATCTGTAACGTTTGGTGATCATCGAGTTGTTTGCTATTGTCTATGTTAATTCCTTCTATCAGGTCATCATGTATATATGTATCTTCCATCCTATTAAAAACTTCTTCATCAACTGTCACTGGTTGTAGCTCACCCAAAATAGCTTTTGGAGCAATAGTCACTGAATTGCTTGTTAAGTTAGAGATGCTGATTGTAACTTCATTATTCTTTCCATAATTGTAGTTTACAACGCTTGGTGTGACATCAATGTAATCAAATAATGATGATTCTTTAGATTCCTGAGTAATTGCGACTGTGGGATGATAATCTATTTCCTTGTCCATGTATCCTTGGATATTCAAAGTTTCATTTGGATGGATGATCAATCTATGAGGTGTAGCATTTCTAATTATGGCTAGTCTATCTTTGTTCTTCTTTAATTCTTTTTCCCTTAAAACAAAGCATCTAAATGATAAATACCAAGAAGTGTGTAGTTGCGCCTTCTGTAGAAACTGTTCCCCAAAATTTTGTTTGCATTCCATTAGTAATTCGTTCAATATGTTTGTCCCAAGAATGACTGGAGTTGTTGTGGAATAATCTGTATCTGGTGTTACTAAGAACAGGCATGTCAGAGATTTAGATTTTGGCAGTCCCACTTTAATGCTGAGTTCTAATTCAAGATATCCTAAATAAGGTAATTGTTTTCCATCAGCACATTCAATGTTCAATATGTTTTCCAAAGGCTGAATTTTAATATGTTGAAGATGGCTGTTATGGAAAGACTGCGAAATCAGGCTAACACAACTTCCACTGTCTAATAAAGCTGTTGTATCTATGTTGTTGATGGATATATTAACCTCGTTGGTATTTCCTACTAATTTGGAATCTCTATTAATAGTAGTGCCCTGATTGGATTCCGAAATCTGAGCACTTATTCTTTTGGGCAGTACTTAGCAATGTGTCCTTTTTCATTACACTTAAAACATGTTGGCTGATTTAGTGGGCAGTTTCTAGATAGATGTCCCTTCTCATTGCAATTATAGCAAGTTGGCTGAAACGTGTTTGTACCAATAGGTCTTGCCGGTCTAACGTCATTTCTACCTCTTCCTCTATAACCTCTGTAATTAGAACCTCTCCATGAACCTCTGTATCCTCTTGGAAATCTATTGTAATTGTATTGATGTTGATCTTGTTTCTTTTCCTTTTCAATATTATCAATTCTGTCATTCAGCTTCTTTAAAAGATCTTTCACTTCTGACATTTCTGAAGTTTCTTTCTTCTCTAAATTTGCTGCCACATTACATCTTTTAGTAGTAGATTCCGATTCTGACTTTAGTTCAGCTTCTATCTTCCTCAATTCAATTTTGAAAAGATCATAATCATCTATAGTGTCACACTTATAAGCTGCTAAATGTTTAATGTCTGGTCTTAATCCTTGGTACAGTACTTGCTTTAATATTTCATCATCTGTTTTCTTCAAAGCTTTCAAACTGACTGCCTGCGTAAATATTTCTTCCAATTTTGATGAAAAACTAAGAATAGACTCATTTGATTGTTTTGTGGAATAGAATTTTCTAAGAATGCTCTTCAAAAGTGTTGTTGAATATGATAAGGTCATCCAAATAAATTACACAGATCTTCATATTATACTCTCCTAAGCATTCTTTGTTTCTATATTTCCAAATGTACTTTCCAATTTCGTCAACACTTCTTTCACTGTAACTCCAATCCCAAGTCGTCTCACTACATCACTTGCATTTCCTTTAACTGCTCTACGAATACCAAGAAGTAGCTGGTCATCTGTTAAACATTTGTCAGCTAACAATGAACAAATTTCAAAATAAAATGTCTCCCAGCTCACGTCTCCTTTATTATCTTCTCCGTAAAATGTAGATATTCTCGGAAACTGGTAACTCCCTTTAGAACTACTCTCATCTGTGACTACCTTAGTTGAAGGTCCACTTTTAAAACTTTTGACATACTCAACGAATGTAATTAAATCTTCTGGAGTTTCCATTTTCTCTGGTTTCACAGATAATTTATGAAACACATCCAATATTTGTCTTTCCTCCTCACTTATGACATCCTCACTCTTCTTCGTTTCCTTCCCTCCGGTTGCCATATTTAATTCCTAAATTCACTTCTCTCAAAATCACCAAATGAATCCACTTCTGAATTAACTCACTTAAGTTTTCACTTAACTTAAGTTTTCACTTCACTTAAGTATTCACTCAACTTAAGTATCCACTCAACTTAAGTATTCACTTGATGTTAGTATTTCCTCAACTTAAGTATTCACTATCCACTTAAGAATTTCTCTCCACAATTCACTTAAGTATTTCACTTCACTATTCACTTAATTATTCACTTCACTATTCACTTAAGTATTTCACTTCACTATTCACTTAAGCATTTCACTTCACTATTCACTTAAGTATTTCACTTCACTATTCACTTAAGTATTTCACTTCACTATTCACTTAAGTATTTCACTTCACTATTCACTTAAGTATTTCACTTCACTATTCACTTAACTTAAGTTTACTTAATATATGCTCACTCAAGTAAGTGCACTCCGGACGTATCCCAATTTCACTCAACTTAAGGTGATTGATGAACTATCCAATATAAATGAATCTATAATTCAAATAAATCAATCCCACTCAAACTAAGTTTTTACTCAACTTAAGTTTTTACTCAAATAGTCACACTTAGTT